GGGGGCGGGGAGGCTCGGGGGTGGGGGGCGGCTGAGCTGGGGTCTGAGCTGCCTGCCCCACAGCTCACTGAACTCGGGGCCCCACCTGGTCCCCCCAACCTACTCTGTCCCTTCCAGACCTCAGAGCCGCCAGCAACATCATCTTCTCCAACGGTGACCTGGACCCCTGGGCAGGGGGCGGGGTGAGTCCCTGCGGGGCTCCCCATGGGGCTGCAGACTTCCAAGGAGCCCGCTGGGCCTGGGCCACACCCACACCCGGGTCTGCACCTCCTCACCCTCCTGGTTGATGGGGTCAGGCCTCTGGTCACCTCTCCTCTCCAATGAGGCCAGTCGAGGCTGCACAGCCTCCTCTATAGTTACTGCTCTAGCTGCACCCCGGCCGGCATGTGCAGCCTGTGCAGGCTGTGTGGGGGCTGAGGGCTGGCTGCCGGAGCCCCCTCCCTCCACACACCTGACGGGCGTCTGACTGACAGATCCAGAGGAACCTGAGTGCCTCCGTCCTGGCCATCACCATCCGAGGGGGAGCGCATCACCTGGACCTCAGGTACAGCCGCCGGGAGGGTGCTGGCCTGCCTGGCCCCGGCCGGACCTGGCAGGGTGCTGACCCCTCCCCTGACCTGCTCCTCAGGGGATCCCACCCGGCAGACCCCCCGTCCGTCCGGGAGGCACGCCAGCTGGAGGCCACGCTCATTGGCCAGTGGATCGAGGAGGCCAGGCGGGCGCAGCACGGAGTCTCCAAGGCCGAGGGGCGCTCCCCCTGCTAGGACCCGCGAGGACTCCAGGGCGGGCGTGCTCGAGGGAGGGGCTGAGCAAATGCAGGGGCCTCGCCAAGTCCCATGGGGGAGGGAGAGGACATGGTGCCCGCGTGCCCAACCTTCCCCATCATCAGTCACAATAAAACAGTCCTGAACCCCCAAGTTTGCTGTTTGTGGGTGATGGGGACCTGCTTTCACGGGCCAGCTGAGCTGTGACACCAAAAACTGGAGGCCACCCCAGCGACTCCACCTCCCTTCTCTGCTGTTTTCAATGTCACCACCACCAAGGGATGCTCCCCAGGAGCCCCGCCCCTCCCCCCTCCCTGTCCATCTTTGGAGGCCCTGGCCTTGGGCAGAGGAGGGCAAGGCCAGTCCTGCTGCACAGCCCGGCCTGCGGGAGCCCACCCTCAGCCATGGGGCCTTCTGGGGGGTGGGGGGGGGGGCAGAGGCCACTTCAGGGCCAGGCCTGCAGCTATAGACCCAGGAGAGGCGGGCCGGGCCCTGGGCCTGCGGGGAGTCAAGGGCACGTGTACATGTCCGAAGGCCCAGGCCCCGGCCCCTGGGAGCCCAGACCTTGGCAGAGGTGCGTCTCCTAGGAGAGGCCTGGCTTCAGAGGGAAGAGCATTTCCTAAAGATACTGAGGGCAACGGGCTGCCAGCTGAACAGGGAGGAGAGGGCCCTGGGGGCAGGGACCCAGGCAAGGCCAGGGGGTGGTCTCTGTGGAAACTAACCGTCAGCCCTAAGGTGGGTGCTGCGCGAGGAGAGGGGCCACCTCAAGACCACGCCCAGGAAAGCAGCACCTGGGGTGAGAGGTGCCAGCGGGTCCTGAGCTCAGCGGACAGGGAGGGTGACCAGCCCAATGCCCCTCCCACCTGTGCCATGGACGCGCGCGAGCGCACACACACACGCACGCGCACACACGTGCACACACACACACACACAGCACACGCACATGCACACACACGCATGCGCACATGCACACACGCGCACACACACAGCACAGCACACGCATGCGCACATGCACACACGCGCACACACACGCACGCATGCGCACATGCACACACGCGCACACACATGCACACAGCACACGCACACACACACGCGCGCACACACACGCACACACACGCGCGCGCACACACACACACGCGCGCACATGCACACACACGCGCGCGCGCGCACACACACACACGCGCACACACGCGCGCACACACACACACGCGCACACACACGCACACACACACGCGCGCACACACACGCACACAGCACACGCACACACGCGCACATGCACACACACACGCATGCGCACATGCACACACGCGCACACACACAGCACACGCACACACACGCACACACAGCAGCGCCGGAGCAGATCTACTTTATCCCGAGTGAAGGTCCGTCCCATCGGGAGGCCGGGCGCAGGGCACACCTGCCCGCCGCCCCCGTGGGATCCCTGAGTCCAACACGTAAACAGCACAGCCAGCCAGGTGTCCCGGTCAGTGGGGCCACAGACACCCCGAGACCTCGGACAGGACAGGGCCACAGACGGACCCCGAGGCCGAGCTGCACTCTGGTCCCTCGCTGTTGCCCTGAACATGTGGGCCTGGGGACCCCCGAGGCTGGGCCCCCCGAAGCCCGTGCGCTGGCTGGTAGGACGTCCAGGTTTCAGGAATGTGAGCCACGGTTTGAGATTCTCAGGAAGGAGGCGGCCCGTGGACGGGACCCCTGAACACAGCGCTGGTCTCCCTCCTGGTCCCCGATGATGTCCCGAGGGAACCACAGCTGGGCAGACACCTGCTGCCCGAGGCCAACCCAGCACCTCACAGCCCGGGTATGGCCCGGCCCAGCTGCCTCCTGGCCTGCTGTCCAGCTGGGCCGACACCGCACGGCCAAGGTCAAAGGAGGGTGGGCCTATCCAGGGCCGGGGCCCTGCTGCCAGGCCCCTCCAACACCAGAAGTGAGACCCCAGGGCAGCGCCCCGTGGACCCGCCCTACGCGGGGGCCCAGATGGGCAGGGGGTGGGCCTCGGTGTTGAACACGTAGGAGTCCAGGCTGAGCAGGTCCATGTCGTCGGAGAAGAGCAGGAACAGGTACTTGAGCGTCTCCCCCAGGAAGAAGCTCTCCATCTTGTCCCTGGGCTGTGGGTTGTGCGGGTCCTGGACGTTGCTGATGGAGGAGTAGCCGCCCGAGGGGACCTGGAGGAGCCGAGGCAGGGTCACTGCGTGGGCACAGCCCGCTCCCTCCTCAGGGGAGCGGCCCGGCCCGGCAGGGCCTGGAATGGGGGCACTGAGGGCCCCAGGGGACTGGCTGCCCGGGCGGTGCCGGCTGCCCCAGTGACTGACGGGAATGCTGCCTCCAGAACCCGCGGAGGCCTTGCTAAGGCCACTCCCAGCTCCGCCCAGCACGGTGGGCCCTGGGGAGGGAAGGGGCTGGGGGGAGGGGCGTGAGGCTCGGCCGGCCCTCGGCGCTCACCCGCGTGTAGGTGTTGAAGCTCTGCAGGATCTCCCAGCCCCAGTCCTGGTAGGTGCGGTCCCCCGTGAGGCGGTACAGGTAGATGGTCCTTCTGCGCGTGCAGGTTGAAGTGTGCGATCTCCGGGCTCAGCCCCGTCGCCATCTGCCTGTTCATCTGGTAGCAGGTTTCCATGAGCGCCCGGGCCAGGTCCATGTGGTCAGCGGGCAGCCCGTAGTGGGCGCCCAGGGCCAGCGTCCCTGGCAGGAAGCACACCAGGTGGTCCTGCAAGTGAAGGGCCTCCTCACCACCACGGAGCCCACCTCCCCGTCCCAGGAGCCCCTGGCCTCCCCGTCCCAGGAGCCCTCGGGCCTCCAGGCCAGGAGC